AAGCAGACTGGAACAGCTACAGTGACAGAAGATATATCTTCATGATGAAACTGACCTATACTCAAAGCGGTGGTTACTCTAAATACCAACAGAGAGGGAAACAGTCTTCACATCAAGTATCAATGCTATCCCCTCTGTACACAGGGTAGATAAGGACGGGCAACTTAGACATTGGCTACCTAAAATGCGGGGGCAATAAAGGCACGAAGTGACTGGCTTACAAGGTTTCAAGAGTGAGCTTAGTTTAAGAGGGTGGGGGGAAAGAGTCACCACTGAATAGCTATCATCTTGCCTAGATGGGTCTGGTGAAAGGAGATGGGCAAAAGATTCGTAAGATTCAATAGTGTATAACTGTTATCATGACTAATGGCGACTGTCACACTTGTAAAGGTAGAAGTTTTGTAACAAAAAAAGGGAGTGGTTAATCTTACAGTCCAGAAACAGAGGACCCTAGGACCATCAAGAGAGAAGTGCACAAATAGAATGCGGGACCTTATCCAGAGAAGCAGCAGCACCAGAGATGGAGGCAGTGATGGGGGCATGGAGAGGGGACACGGTTGAGGACTCTAGATTCATGGACTAAGAAGAGAAGGACTAAGAACTGGTGGCCAGGAGCACACTTGCAGAATGTGCCCTTTGGAGATGTAAATTATTATTATGTATGCCTGAGTGGGTTTTTTTGTTTGTGTGTTTTTAAAAAAGCTAAAGTGGATAGAGAGACATACTTTTAACTCATGGTATATGGAGGGGATTAAAATCAATGTAATGAAACAAGTTATATGAATTGTTGAATGTGAAACTGATGATGTGCCCTGTAAACTTTCACTCAATCCACAATAAAAACCTTATGTTAAAAAAATAAAGGAATTGTTCTTGTGTGCCGTTGAGTTGGTTCTGACCCATACCGACCATATCATGTGTCAACAGATTTCATAGTTAATAAATTCACCAGTCTCCAACTCTAAAATCATGAGAAAAACAGGTTCTCCTACTCTGAACTTCCAAGATACACAAACTCAGTAATGAAAGGCATCTGGGGGTGTTCCTAAATTGGAGTTTTTCCAAATTTCATGCCTAACCCCAGATCTACCAAGTCAGAGTCTTTTGCAGTTACCTGGTCTCCTGCTCTACTGATACAATGAGAATTTCTACTTTATGTTACAGAAGAATCCTTTATAATACAATTCTTAATACATGCGTACTCATTTGGCCCTATGCTCTTGTGTTATCCTGCTAATTCATATAAATAGCTGAAAGTGTAAATAATCAGCCCCTGTTGGTAAGGGAAAGCATCCTATTTGTGGTGCCTTGGCAGTGATTCTCAACACTAAATGCACACCACAATTTACCTGGGAAGAGGGGTGGCTTTTAAAAAATAAAAATACCTGAGCCTAGCCTCTAAGATTTCACAGGTTTATAGTAAAGACTGGTATCTGTTAACGTACAATTCCTTTCAAGACAGCCTTTATTTCCAATGGCTACATTTCTACCAGGAACCTGCTGGACCTAGGAAAAAGAAACTTAAAACCAAGCAACTAAATAAGGAAATACCCTCAAACATTAGTCATTTTTCAATGGATAATGCAAGTAAGTCATTAATTCTCTCCTGTCTTTCTGTATTTCTGAGTTTCTATATATAATCAATATATACTGTTGTTGTTGTTAAGTGCTGTCAAGTCGGTTCCAACTCTTAACAACTTTGTATAGCTGGTGAATTTGAACCACTGACCTGTGTGGTTCAAACCACAGTGCCATACCAGCACACACCCAAATAACACCCACACACATAAAAAAACTACAACTTACTTTCCTTTTCTGTGGAGTTCATGGGTGGTACAAATTGCTTAATGGTGTGGTTGTTGTTGTTGTTGTTAAGTGCCGTCGAGTCGGTTCCGACCCATAGCGACCCTGTACAGGGTTTCCGAGGGTGTAAATCCTTACGGGAGTA